CTCAAATAAAATACTAAAAATATCCTGAATGTGACTCTTCAATTCTACGCCGTGATGAAGCAGGGGGTATATCACAGTAGGACACTCTCTTCTATTATTATCTACTCTTGATTGTGGGCATTGATGGAAATAATTGTATACATGTTCATTTGTGTATTTGTTAAATGGATGCTGTAATCAATCCTTTATAATTGAATTACCATGTATTGTGATATTGTTATTAATAAGTGTATTCTTACAATTACTGGCTATTATTGGAGTCAGTTGTTCCTTGTTTAGAAAATATAATTGTTTGGAATTAAATTTGGAGAAATTCCTTAGCGTAATTTTTTTATTTGCTGAAGTATGCTAATTATCCTAATTCTGTCGTGATTGTTAGTATATTAGTGTATATCCTAGTATATTCTAGTATATTTGCTTTGTATATGTTGATTGGTTATGTGCTCTTGATTGTCAAGCTTAGTTGAGTTCATCTTAGTCTCATTTTCAATTATGCTTATATTAACATTATTTAACTATTACTAATAGTTAATTGATAATAATGGTGCGACCCACAATAGCCTGAGTAGATTATTTTAGTATTTAAACTCATTGGTGATTTATTGCTTGTATGGGTAGTCTACTTCGTTGTCAATTTTGTTTATAATTTTTGGAGGGGGTTGATCCCCCGAGCAATTGATTTAATTGAACTAGTGTAATTTGTACAATAATTGTAGTGCCCCCCTTTAGTCAGGGGGGGGCCATCTGGTTCTCTTATGAAAAATGGCGGTTTTTCTGATATAACGTAAAATGGAATTTTGGACCCATTTAAAAGTGCGTGGTCTTAAACACAAAGTGGTAGAACTACCATACGGGTAGTAAATTTCAAGGGTATAAAATTTCGTGTTTTAGCGAAAAGTTCTTCATTCTTTAAATTTAAATTTTGCGTTCTTGCACGTGCACTTGCATCAAGTCATTGATTTTCACATGCTGCGCATGTGCAGTGAGCATTTCAATGGTACATGTATTAATTTCTGTGGTTAAGAAGTTACCCACAAAATCCACGAAATTAAATACCCCACAGAATTTTAAACCCGTACAGTATTATAGTTTAATTTTTGTACAATATGCGGCCAATGTAAGTCCCATGGTTCTACAAGCTCTATTACAGAAAGGATGTACAAGTACAATCAGTGATAATTGATAGTTATCATAAGCTAACCACATTGGTGCGACCCACAATGCTATGAATGCATTTTCACACTATATAAGCCTGAGAGACTGTTAATAGCTTTGGAGTTCCTTCGGTTTCACTTGTCATCAGTATAAGGTCCATTTTTTGGAGGGGTCTTACCATATGAACTATGAAGACCCCACTATTATAAATTATATTTGTAATGAAAAATTTGCTTGTACATGTATGTACATGTAAATGTAGTGAGTTACAGTAGTTATTAGTGGTGATATTGCAAATGCTTGATAAATGATAATTCACTTTGAACTAGTTGCTAATTAAAGCTATGGAAGGTGGACCTATTATTATTGTGTTATAGTGTTATGCTAATAAATAGGTATTTTGTGAATTGAATTCATTATTGATTCTTGCTAATTATGTACATTTTGTTAAATCAAGAGTCCCTTTGAAAATACTAAGCTTACTGTACTTGTTTTACTGATAATTGACAGTTATTGTAAGCTAACCACATTGTGGTCCGACCCACAATGCTATGAATGCATTTTCACACTATATAAGCCTGAGAGACTGCTAATAGCTTTGGAGTTCCTTCAGTTTCACTTGGCTTTCTTTTTTTCTAAGAAAGTCTGGTCATCAGTATAGGTCCATTTTTTGGAGGGGTCTTATCATAAGAACTATGAAGACCCCACAATTATTTAATTAATTATTATATTTGTAAAGAAAAATTTATGTGTACATGTAAATGCAGTGAGTTACAGTAGTTGTTAGCGGTGATATTGCAAATACTTGATAAATGATAATTCACTTTGAACTAGTTGCTAATTAAAGCTATGTATGCAAAGGCTTTAGTTATAGAATCCCCTATTATTATTGTGTTATGCTATTGAATTCACTATTGATTTTTGCTAATTTTGTACATTTTATTAAATCACATTTTGGGTCCCCTTGAAAACACTAAGCTTACTGTACTTGTTTTACTGATAATTGACAGTTATTGTAAGCTAACCACATTGTGGTCCGACCCACAATGCTATGAGTGCATTTTTACACTATATAAGAAAGCAACATATTTTAATATGCGAAGCAAGCTATTTTTTTACCTACATTTTTTGGAAGGGTCTTCTCTTATGGAATGACCCGCTACATTTGTGTTCATGCTTTTTTATGAAAATTTGCAACTTTTAAAAATAGTCATACATGTACATGTGCAACTCAAAAAATTAAGCCAAAACTAAACCATGGGCTATAGTTTATGCTTTTTAAGAAGTACTGAAGTAGGTCACATTGACACACTGGTACAAATGACAGTGTAATTATTTGTCATCACTTAATCATTATTTTTATTTACCTCTCTCTCTCTCTCTCTCTTTCTTTCTATCTTCTCCTACTTCTTTCTCTGTTTATCCTTTCTTGCTCTCTCTCCCTCCCTCTCTCTCTCTCTCTCCTCAGTACAAGTCAATGGTCAGTGTACTCTTAGATCAGTCTCACTTCTCCCAAACACTAATGAGTCCACACTCCAATTGAATTGTAATGTATCCGGAATATGGCTGCTTAACAATGACAGTGTTCCTAGTGAACTAGTGGTGTCTATGAGTTCTGATAATAGGACAGTTAGTCTTACCATTGGTTTCTCAGAAGATGGTGCTGTTATAACTGTTAAAGGTCATGAAAATTACTGTTGCTTTAATTTGTCTGGTAAGTTGATTTAGTACCAACTTATAATTCGTTTAGCTACTGTACATGTACTGTATTTAGTTAGAAAATATGCAATGTTGAATTGCTTTTTAAAAAAACTAAAATTTTGCTCAAATTTGCCAACTGCATGAAGCTAAATTTGCCATACCATAATAACTCCACCAAATTTTAGCTTGTACAGTTGCTTTTGTTTTCACATGTAAAGTATCTTCATCATTTATCCTTTCTCTCTCTCTCTCTCACACACACACACACACTCATCTAATTACTACTATTATTACCGCATCTCCTACTCCTTCAGTTACTGTTACTCCTTCAGTTACTGTTACTCCTTCAGTTACTGTTACTCCTTCTTCTACTCCTTCGCCAACTCCTTTTAACATGCTCATTGTCTTTGGTATTGCTGGAGGAGGTGCTCTGGTTGTTGCTGTACTGATTATTATTATTATATGTGTGATTGTCATCTGCTGCTGTCTAATAAGGAGACAGAGAGAAAGGTTAGGACTAAGGAACATATATGCAAATAATGATAATTAATAATTATTATACATGTATAAATAAACATATATTATACATAATGTATGTTTAATCATTTGTTCTCTTTTTACTCTATTATTGGGTATGAATTTGTATGTATTGACATTAATTATGTTTGGTTCAGGTGTGACCATTGAGATTCAATTTTCTAAGAAATATCTCTCTATAGACTAGCTATACTACAACTACATTCATATCCTCTTACAGTCTGTACTATAGTGTAGTACATCCATTGTAGCTTTAATGTTTTACTTGCCACACATTTTAGTTGACACATGCATGTACATGTACATGTACATGTAAATATTTATTTGCACACATGCAGCTACATGTATATAGTACATGTACATGTACATATATTATTATTACGTGCATGTATTTATTCTATATTATTATTATTTTTTTATTTCTGTAACTTAATTATGTATTAGTATATTATCTACTATAAAAATATATTATTATTATTATTATTATTATTATTATTGTTATTATTATTTCTTGTAGTCCCAGTAGTCCACTAATAAGAAGCAAGAGTGCTGGTAGTAGAATGGAGAAAGGAGGGGGTACCTCAATAATTAGACGCTCGATACGAAAATCCCGTGTAATGGACCCGATCGACGTGTACCGCAAGAAAAATCAGTCGGAGGTTATGAACACTCACCCTACCATTCACAACTATCAGTTCCCGGCTCACCTTGCTGTAATGAGGATGAACGATAACCAGAGGTTTATGGAAGAGTTTGGTACGATACCGATGAATCCTGGTCATCCAAAGGAGGTCGCTAATTATGAGTGTAACTTGGCCAAGAATCGGTATGATAATATCTTGCCTTATGATCATACGAGGGTTAAACTATCGACTGTTAAGTGGCAGGAGGGATCTGATTATATTAACGCTAGCTTCCTTGATGTAAGTATATATTGTACATGTATATATTATATGAATGTACATATTAATGTGTTAATGTGCATGTATAATTGCAGTGTACATGTACATGTACGCAGTTATGTATACTGTATAGCGCTTTAATTTAGTGGAGTTTTATTTTGGCGATTGGCGGTTTGCAAGCAGAATCGCCAATATTAAAACCGCCAATCATTAATGCACATGCTCAGTAATGCACGCGTGTACACAAAAACTGCCAAATTAAAAAACGCCAATTATAATTTTACAGCAAAATTGCCAAAATAAAGCGCTATACGGTAGTACTAGCTTTTATACACTATATTTATATGGTTAAAACTATTGTACATGTAACAGTGCTTGTTTAAAATGATTTTCTGGTCTAATTTTTTCATGTTATTGTTGCCATATCATATGCATGTACATTATTGTCTCATTCTTATTTTATTATTTATATCTTTGTATATTATTTATAATATTTTAATTTGTATTTTCAATTCCTCGCCGATTTTGAAAATGCACTATGTTCTCTCTCTCTCTCTCTCAGTATTAAGTGTTGTTATTCAAAATATAATATCTGTTAAAAAAATGATGTACATGTACATACAGTGTATGACAGATGTGCATTATTATTATATGGAACCGTCTGTTTACTCTCTCTGCAGTCTCTGTATATAAACTTTCTGTTATCGTTATAATGTCGTACAGTTTATCAACACTGGCTCTCTGTTTGTGTGTACACAAAATGCTAATACATGAATGAGCAATCTTCATATTAATTCATTTTGTTATATTACTTATTAATACTTATTTTTGTCCTCTCTCTCTCTCTCCCTTCCCCTCTCTCTCACTCTCTCTCTCTCTCCCTCTCTCCCTCCCTCCCTCTCTCTCTCTCCCCCCCTCTCTCTCTCTCAGGGTTTTATGAAGCCACAACAATACATAGCAACACAAGGTACCATGACTTTGATTTGTATGATAGAAAAGCAAAATATACATGTACATGTACAATCACGGTTACTGTACAATGTATATCATCACTTATTAAGTTATTATTGTGCATGCAATGTACACGTACATGTATTACTGGCTATGTGTATGTTCAATGTACATGTACACGTACACATACATGTACATGTACATGTACACATACACTGTACATGTACATGTACATGTATGTTTAATAATGATTTGCTCGTTCTATTATCTCTAGGTCCTATGGCTGAGACAATTGGTGAGTTCTGGAGGATGGTCTGGGAACAGAACAGTGCGACCATTGTCATGGTAACCAAACTACAAGAGAAATCAACGGTAGGACTTGATGACATCACTGTACATGTACATATACATATATCGTAGAATACATGTATGTGTAATTGTGTATTGTTATTTGTTTTTGAATTTTGCTTTAGCAAGAAGTGAAACACATACGTATACAATGTACAATAAGAAGTGAAGATAAAGAATAGTCCAAAAATCAATACATGCAATGGATTATAATCACTGTTAGATCTAGAGGGAGTTTAGGAGACTTTGATCTCTCATTAAATTTAGCCTACATGTACATGTACATGTATATGTCATTTTTCTTTCATTTCTAGTTTGAATTGGTCTCTTTTATATCTAACAATATTCACAATACATTTGTGCATGTACTTGTACTTATTGATGTACATGTAACAATACAATACAATGAATGTACATGTATAACAATACAATGTACATGTATATGTACATGTAATTATCAAGTGGTTATTGATAGGTAAAGTGTGATTGCTATTGGCCGACTGATGTCAACGAGAGGTGTACGTATGGAGGAGTTGAAGTGACGCTAGTGGAGTGTGTCCCTCTTGCCAATTATACTTTTAGAACATTCACCATTATGAAAGTGAGTTGTATGGAATCTTTTATATTTGTACACTTTTATAGAGCTTTAGTTCTTAGTTCTTTTCCCCCATTGCTCTTTTTCTTTCTTCCCTTTATTTACATGTAGATGTACATGTACATGTACATGTACTGTATATCTACTCATGTGTGTTTACATATTTATGCATATACATATGGACAAGTGTGTATACATACATGTATGACACTTTTTCCTATTGTTTTTCTTCCTCTCTCTCTCCCTCTTTCTCTCTCTCTCTCCCTCCCTCTCTCCCTCTCTCTCTCTCTCTCCCTCTCTCCCTCCCTTTTTCTATCCCTCTCTCTCTCTCCCTCTCTCTCTCTCCCTCCCTCTCTTTCTCTCTCCCTCTCTCTCTCTCCCTCCCTCTCTCTCTTCCTCCCTCCCTTTCTCCCCCAGGGAGGTACATCAAAAGACCTAAGAGAAGTCAGACAGTTTCATTTCACAGCCTGGCCTGATCATGGCGTCCCTGAGTTCCCTACCTCCATGTTATCGATGATTCGCTGCGTCCGAGCACACCACAACCGCCTGCCACCAGACACTGGCCCAATGATAGTCCACTGTAGTGCTGGAGTGGGTAGAACTGGTACCTTTGTAGTCATTGACAGTATGCTCCAGAGAATACTCCATGGAGAGGATAATGTTGATATTTATGGACATGTCACTTTGCTTAGGAATCAGAGGAACTTCATGGTCCAGACTGAGGTATGCCATTTAATTCTATGTACATGTACATGTATGCTGCATTTTTCTTTTCCTACATTTATATATACATGTACATGTATTTCTTTTCTTTTTTCTCATGTACATTTACATATTGCTTTTCTTCTTTTTATTTTCTGTATTAATTCTCTCTTCCGTTTCTCTCTGCAATTACATGTACAAATGTTTTTCTTTCACTTTATTTTTTCTCTATTCCCCTCTTTCATTTTATTTACATGTTGCTATTTTTCTTTTATTTTTCTTGCCTGCTATAATCATCCATCTCTTCTTCTCTCTCTCTCTCTCCCTCTCCCTCCCTCCTTCTCTCCTAGGATCAATATTTCTTTATTCATGAGGCTATCAATGAGGCCATTGCTTGTGGTGTAACTGATGTCACTTCAGATCAGTTCCCAGTTCATTTAGACAAACTGGAGCTAATACAAGAAGACGGTGAGAGCTCTCTACTGGAAATGGAGTTTCAGGTACACATACATGTACACATACATGTATATATACACATACATGTATATAATGCGTTATGTACATACATGTATATGCAGTACATGTACATTGTACATGTATGCATTAGTTACATGTACAAGAGTCTCAAGAGAAATAATATTATATAGACATTATTGTTGTTGTATAATTGTTATTGTTGTATTGTTGTTGTTGTTGTTGTTGTTGTTGTTGTTGTTGTTGTTTTATATGTAGAGTCATTAGCCAAAGACTACATGTACATGTATGGCCTATATTAATAGTTGCTTTTTAGTATACTATATCCCAGCTGAGTTTGACACCAGCCGCTTGGAATTTGAAAAATGTAGCCATACGTCACTAATGACGTCTTATAATGATATTCATAGAAGCATGGCCGATATTTTACAGGTGCCTAGTTGGCCTGTATTTCACTTTTAAATGGGCTTTGTTTGTTCTGATAAGCAGTACAATAGCTGCTGGAGTCAACTAGTCTTCATATTGGCCATTATTATCAAAAGATCTTGCTCTGTTAGCTTTTTAAAAGAAGAATTATCGGTTTGGGCACTCGACCACATGTTCTTATGTAAACTATGACGTAGATAAATTGTCATAAAACGTCATTTTGGTATGCCATTGGGTTTATAGGGAGAACCCGGTTCTCAGGGTTCCCAAGGGCTGAGAGACCCAAGACCTGAGATCCTGTGATGGCATTGGGCGACTAAGAACCTGTGAAAGTCTCATCCTTATCCCGCATTCCTATAAAAAGTTATTCCAGTTTTTCTTGGGTCAAACTCAGTTGGGATATAGTATAGTAATTATAATGTTTTTTATCTTGTGTACATATACATACATGTACATGTGCATATGTACTCATGCTTAATGACTAATAGTAGTAGTTAGTGTTTATTTTTGGGAAAAGCACACACAATCAACTTGAAACAATGTTTATAAGCAGCAGCTGGAACATACCGTATAGAGGGTATATTTCAATCTATTCACAAGAAAAAATTTTGTGTTTTTCTTCTACTCAGCATTTTTAGTTTGATAAAAAATAATTTTCATAGATAAAAATTTTCATAAATTTTTAAAAGCAGGAAATTAGCGAAATTAAATCCTCGGGAAATATATCCCATATACATGTACATGTATTGTACTCCGTTACTTTAACATAATGTACATATATACTTATCCTTAAGCTTTGTATCAACTTTGAGCTGATTCCGATTAAATTTAGATTTTTTTATGAATTTTTAAATTCAATCCATATATTATTGTCCAAGTTTTGAAGATTTATTAAAACTAAATTTTATGTACATGTACATGTAATCAATCTGTTCTATTTATAGTATCAATGTGATGTCGTGTTTCTATTTTTAGCGTCTAGCGACAGACAGGACAGAGCCACACAGATTTGCCAGTGCCACTAAGAATGTCAACAAAGGAAAGAACAGATTCGTCAACATTATGCCATGTAAGTAGTGGGTGTGGTTGTGGGTGTGGCTAAAGTATAGTTATTATTATTATTATTATTATTATTATTGTCATTATTACTTACGAGAAAAAAAAATTATTATTATTATTGTTATTATTATTATTATTATTATTATTATTATTGTTGTTGTTGTTGTTGTTGTTGTTGTTGTTGTTATTATTGTTGTTGTTGTTATTTATAGATGAGTACAACAGAGTAAAACTTAGTTTCATCAGAGCTACTGAAGGATCAGATTATATTAATGCCAGTTATATTGATGTAAGTACTGTACACGTTCATAATTTACTGAACATTTTATAATGCATATACTTTATGTACAGATTTAAATCAAAATTATATTTTTTTACAAATATTTGAAGTTACTCAAAAATTGGGCCAACATCCCTGTACTACGGTACACCAAATTTTGCCAAAAATGACTAGGAGAGAATTCTCCATTTTTATAATTTTTTCTGATGCATATACATGTTTTTATGTTGTGTAGCAAGTTTGAGTTGATTCCGATCAAATTTAAATTTTTTACGATTATTAAAAGTTACTCAAAAATCGGGCCAAAGTCCCTGTACTATAGTACAGGGTGTTCGGCCAAATTTTGCCAAAAATGACTAGGAGAGAATTCTCTATTTTTATAATTTTTCTAATTTTTCCTGATACATATACATGTTCTTATGTTGTGTAGCAAGTTTGAGTTGATTCCGATCAAATTTAAATTTTTTACGATTATTTAAAGTTACTCAAAAATTGGGCCAACATCCCTGTACTACAGTACACCAAATTTTGTCAAAAATGACTAGGAGAGAATTCTTCATTTTTATAATTTTTTTCTGATGCATATACATGTTTTTATGTTGCGTAGCAAGTTTGAGTTGATTCCATTCAAATTTGAATTTTTTACGATTTTTAAAAGTTACTCAATAATCGGGCCAAAGTCCCTGTACTATAGTACAGGGTGTTCGGCCAAATTTTGCCAAAAATGACTAGGAGAGAATTCTCCATTTTTATAATTTTTTTTCTAATACATATACATGTTTTTATGTTGTGTAGCAAGTTTGAGTTGATTCCGATCAAATTTAAATTTTTTACGATTTTTAAAAGTTACTCAAAAATTGGGCCAAAATCCCTGTACTATAGTACAGGGTGTTCGGCCAAATTTCGCCAAAAATGACTAGGAGAGAATTCTCCATTTTTATAATTTTTTCTAATACATATACATGTTTTTATGTTGTGTAGCAAGTTTGAGTTGATTCCAATCAAGTTTGGATTTTTTACGATTTTTAAAAGTTACTCAAAAATTGGGCCAAAGTCCCTGTACTATAGTACAGGGTGTTCGGCCAAATTTTGCCAAAAATGACTAGGAGAGAATTCTCCATTTTTATAATATTTTCTGATAAACATACATGTTCTTATGTTGTGTAGCAAGTTTGAGCTAATTTTATTCAAATTTAAATTCTTTTACAAATTTCAAAAATTGGCCCAAAGTCCCTGTACTATAGTACAGGATGTTTGGCCTAATTTTGCCAAAATAAATTCTTCATTTTCATTACTTTTCTCTTGCATGTACATACTCATATTTTTGGAAATTTTAAACTGGTTACAATCAAAATTTTAATTTTGATGTTATAATTATAAAATCTAATAACTTGTGTTATTATTTCTTGTAGAGCTACAGACAGCAGAGAGCATACCTTGCTACACAGGGTCCAATGAAGAACACTGTGGAAGATTTCTGGAGAATGATATGGGAACACAAGAGCAAAATAATAGGTAGAGAAGAAAAGGAAATGAAATAAAATAATAGAATGAGTGTATGTTTGTACATGTACATATACAATACATAAACTACCCACTCAAATGATTAAAAATAGGTGTTCCAAAAAAAACATTTATGTATAAATAAATGTACATTTAATTAATTTGTCAAAAGTCATTACAGCTTTTAGCTACTGTATTCACAAAAGAAAGTTGTAGTAAAGATTTTAAGTAAAAAGAGTTTTAATTCCCTTCCCTCTTCTTTTTCATTCATTCATTGCTACTAGTAATGTTAACGAAACTGGAGGAGAAGCAGCAAGAGTGTAGCTTTCTTTATTGGTCCGACCTTGAGAGCAGACAGTTTGGTGAGATCACCATTGAACTAATAAAGAAGAAAGAGGAGATTGACTATCTACACAGACAATTTAAAATAGCACACTTAGAGGTGAGACATTCAACCAGTCATTGCTAATGGCCTAATAACCTTACAGTTATTTGCATTTAATGTAATAATTTATAAATGATTTAGTATAATTAAAAGTCTATTTGCAATGTTCCATACTATACAGCTGGTTGAATATTTTTAAACTCTTTCTTTTATGGCTTTACTCATACACGTGCATGTACATGTATATCATGGCATTGAGCAATGTACTGTATAATAAAGTAATATTGAAATAACAATTAATAATTAACTATTATATGATAGTGTAATATTGTATAATAACTAATAAAGCTTATGTATACTTAAATTTGCTATATGTACTTTATTTAAAATGCTTCATTTCCATAACAAATTATATATTAATTACTTAATTTTCTATTATTTTTATTTTTTATCATTTTTATGTTATAGCAACCTGAAGCTAGTTACACACTCCACCACTTCCAGTTCCTGGGTTGGCCTGAAAGAGGTGTCCCAGTGTCTGCCCTCCCTCTCCTTCAAATGATACAAAATGTTCAAGAGCTTTACATCACATTAAGAACCACTGAACCGATAACAGTAATGTGCAGGTAACACACATGTACATGTAGAATATGACTACATACATATGTACATGTACATGTACATGTACAATATAATGATGTACATGTTTACTGTATGCATGTAGCTGGAAAGCATTTGTGAATGATTTTGTCTTACATTTTTGATGCAATTTAAATATACATGCACATGTACATGTATTTTGAGGTTGTGTCCTACATGTACATGGTAAGTTTCCAGCTTTATTTTATGCCATTTGTAAATTAACATGTTACTGTACATATACTTACTACATCATCATTATCAATAATTCATTATTCTTATTATTATCATTAATCATTATTGTCGTTATTATTATTATTATTATTATTATTATACTTATTGTCTTATCCTGTAGTTCTGGTGTTGGTAGGACTGGTGTGTTTATAGCGTTGGGTATTGTACTGGAGAGATACTCAGTTGAAGGAATGATTGACCTCTTTCAAACTGTAAAGACTCTCAGAATACAAAGATCAGCCATGGTCCAGACCAGAGTAAGAAAAGAGAGAGAGAGAGAGGGAGAGGAGGAGGAGGAGGGCAATTAACACTGTAATAGCAAGTTTGAGCTAATTCCGATCAAATTTGGATTTTTAATGAATTTTTAATTTGCTCAAAAATTGGACCAAAGTCCCTGTACTCCAAATGCCATGTACTGTATTGTAGTGCTTG